ACCAAGCTGGGTAAGAGGCTTGGTCAGGGCTTGAGTGGGGCCCCTGGTACTATCAGAGGTGCGGGAGCTGGGCTTGGGATCATGGAAAGGCAGGGGTGGTGGTGGGGGGGGACTGAGTGGGGGCGGGGGAATGTGGTCAGAGATGGAAGAGTAGGTCAGGGAACTGCCCTCTTCACTGCTGCTGAGACACTCGCTGGCACTGCTCCGCTCGTTGGTCACAAAGCTTCCCTGGTCATCATGGAAGCTCATCTGGTGGGAGTGGGAGGAAATAAGTAAAGAGAAGGACAGGCCAGGCCCAGAGAGACCAGGACAGGTGGATAAAGCATGGGGTAAGAGGTTAGAGAGCCTGGGGATGAGGAAAGGACCCTCTCATGGTCGCCTGAAGATGGGATGGCTTGGGAGTGTGGCCTGGGATAAGGAAGGGGCTAATGTGAGACAGGTGTGTGGGATAGCCTCAGGCAAAGGATGGGCCAGTGTAGGAAAGGAAAAGCCTTGTGGTTTAACCTGAGGCTGTGAGGGGGTAGCCCAGGATGAGGAATGGGGTAGCCTGGGGGTATAGAGGATAGCTTTGAACAGGGGCAGATTCCCAGGGCAGGAAACTTTTTGCAGGGGCCAGGGGATGCAGTTTCCTGACCAAGCTCCACACTCATCTCCCCCCTTGCATGCCCACCTCCTCATAATCATTCTCAGGTGTCAGGAAATCATCCACGATGACCCTGGGGCCCAGCTGCTCGCTCAGCACATCCAGAAAGTGGTCCGTGTCCCGGCTCCGGACGGGGCGGGAGAAGGTGAAGAGCTTCCTGCGGCTGGGCGGGCGGGCAGGGTCCGGGCTGGGGGGGCTGTCAGGGTGGATGGGCCCGGGGCCTGGCTGGGGGGAGGGCGCCCTGCTGCTGTCCAGGCTGGCGTAAGGGTGGGACTCGGAGCTGCTGGGGGAGGCCAGGCCCCCTGAGCACAGCGGGTCGTAGCAGGGGGAGGGCAGGAGCCGCTCACTGGGCCAGGAGACTCCGGACAGGGTCCTGGGCCCTGGGTGGGGGATGGAGTATGAGGTTCAAGGTTCCAGGCACAGGCTGGAGGGGAGCCCTGGGGAAGGTTGGCTCTGTGTCCAGGACACTCCCCTTTCCCTCTCTGAGCATAGTACTGGAAGCCCCTGGGTGACCCTGCCTCTAAGGCTTCAGAGACCAGACTGGGTACAGAGAGCACAGCTTGGATCCAGATCAGCCAGACTCTAGCTCATCTGGGAAACCATCTTCCCAGCTGGGTCATTCACAGAGTAATGCATGCAATTAATAGTTTATCCAAGAGCCGAGTGCTAACCCAGGGGCATAACTCTGGGGGCATTCCTCTGTTTTTGCAAATTCATAGCTGTGGTGAGGACCCTGGGGACAACAAAGGGGCTGAGGCAAGCTAGACCTTGATGGATGATACCCATGCACGGAAGCCTTTGGGATTCCCCACAGTCTAGCTGCACACACTTTAGGGGTGTGCCTGGAAGTGGGAATGACACCTGGAAAGCCAGCCAGAAGGACAGAAGCCAGCGCACCCTCAGGACCAGAGGCTGGCTGAGCCCCTACCTGCTGTGCCTGCCAGACTAGGGCCTGGTGGGGAGGCCCGGGATTTGGACACACTCCCCATTTTCCCTTTGAAGCTGCTGTTCAGTCGAGACTCAAGCTCTGCATAGACGGCAGACATCTAGGGAGTGGAAGGGACAAGTCTAGATTACTCTCACTGCTCCCATATAGCCCCAGCTGGGACTCAGAAGCCAGGCCCAGGTCATGTGCCCTAGTCTGGAGTAGCCACAGGGAGTATCTTGGCATGAGATCTCCTGGGCCCCACTTCATGGGCCACCCATCTTCCACCCCTCATTGATTCTACTTGGGAAGCAGATAGGAGGTCTCACCATCTTGGGATTGGGGGTCTCAGGGAGCGATGTACCATCCCCAGCCTGGCGTTCACCTGGGATCAGAGGAAGAGGCATCTCAGGGCAGTCACTGGGACCTGCTGGGAGGGCACCATGGGATCTAGTTACCACATCTGAGTTCCAAGACTCAGTCCCCAGCCCAGACCCTGCAGGCCTGCCCTACCAATCCAGGAGGGCACCACCAGCCCTGTTGCCTCCAGTCCCTGCCACTTCGTCTCTCATCAAGCCCATTTTACAGGAGGGTAACAGGGCCTTCCTATCTGGGGCCTTACCACAGCTGAGGCTGGACTCCAGGCCCTGGGACCGAAGGCTGCGGCGGCACATGGAAGAGGCCCTCACAGAGCTCCGAGGCTGGGGCTCTGGTGTGGGCTCTGGCGTAGGCTCCGGGGTGGGCTCCAGGTCCAGCGAGGACTCAGGCTCTGCTGTAGGACACACAGGGGAGATGGGGCAGCTTGACTTCTTGGCCTCCACAAGAAAGGGGCCTCCACAAAAACCCATACATGGGCCCTCCATAAGCAAGGGGCTCTGCACCTATATGTTGACTCTAGGCTACGGACCTTCCCTGCTGGTCTCTAAGACAACTCTCAAAAAGAAGCCCTGGGTCCAGAAACCAGGTGAACAAAAGAAGCACCTCACAGTAGTCAGCCTGAGGACAGAGCCTGAGTTAGGGCCCCAGCCCTTCCCAAATGGGCTCTCTTTTCAGGACCCCAATCTTCCAGGGTCTCAACATCCTGTGGTTGAACCAAGCTGGTCACTTCTAGACAAAGAGGCTTTCAGGGTGAAACAAAACTTCCAGGCCTAGGCAGACATCTGCTGCCCAGCCTGGATCCTGAGCTTCTTGCTAAAACTCTCAGTCCTTCTCAGCAAACTGTGGATGTCTGGAACCAGGGATAATGGCCACACAAGGACTAGCAAAAAGCACATCTCTTGCGACTGCCATTGTGGGTACAGAGTGCCTGTAGCAGGTAAAGCCACAGGGTCTGGCATCCTTTCCATTCACATGGCTTCAAACATGAAGTGCATTGTTTCGTGGGCTAATTGCCAGGTAGGCAGTGGTGGGAAAATGTGGTCGTATGTAGCCTAGCAGGCTCACAGTATGTGGGACTGTGAACTGGAGCCCTCCAGCCAGGATGACCCAACCAGGAGTCACATGCTGATATATTTGAAAGTAGCAACCATGGGCATTTCTTGATCTGTGATGTACTTACCAAGGTATAAAGCACAAGTGCTAAGATTACTCTTATGTTGCAGAGGAGAAACCTGAGACCCCCCAGGTGGTTAGGTGGAGCCTCTCAAGTCTCAGATCATGCAGTACATGCAGCATGAAGGTCAATCTGGGCAGGTACATGCTCAGGGCCAAGTGTAGACCAAATCCAAGTGTGGTATGAATTTGCCTGGTATGTGGGCACATCTAGGTGTGAGAGGGGCTGGGTCAGCCATAAGAACTCACAAGTGGGAACAGGTGTCTGAATGTTCACCTGGTGGGCTGGGCAACTGGCAGCATGGGTAGGGGAAGGGGTATGCAGGGAGTGCTTTACCTGTCATGGCCGTGTAGCCCAGGAAGCACGCGATTTTCTCCTGACAGAGCTCCTGTTCCTCATATGTCAGCAGCTGGTAGATGAACTGCCAAAGGACCTGCTTGGCAGGTGTGTCCAACACAGGGTAGACATCCACTATGAGGGTATCAATGTTCCTGAAGAGGGTGCAAGAGCAAGGGAGTCGTAACTCAGAGGATCCCCTAGGGATTGGTGGCCAAAGAAGGCACTCAAGGCCACAGAATTCACCCTCATGCTCTGCCCCCATCCTTGAAAGACAACAGTGGATGGGAAGGATCTCAGCACTGGTTGCTGAGATTCAAATCTCAGTTCCTCCGCTTGCCAGCTAAGAGACCTTTCTCAAGTTACTTAACTTCTCTGTTTCAGTTTCCTCATCTGTAAAATGGAGATTAAAAACAGCATCTACATCATGGAGCGGCTGTGAAGATTAACCCATTATGTCCTATTGTGCCATTTATGGAATATGTAAAAAAAAAAACTAACATTAAGCAACAAATACAGCACTTTATAATAACTTTGAAATAAAAATTTATGTTTTTAGAGTACTATTCTTTTGAGAAAATAATAGATGAGTGATTGGTGATAATACACATTAACACTGTTAATTATATCATTAACATCATTAAGGATAATGAATTGTATAATAAGCTCTAGATTAGGATTGCCAAACTATTTGAATGCACCTGTGTCAATTTAATTGAAATGTACACCGAATTGAAAACTTGAGACTTAATGGATTAAAACATAAAGAGTGTATTGGGAAAACAGACTCACTGTGTCAGGGACTAACAGATGATGGCCTGTGAGCTAAAATCTGGCCCATCACCTGTGTTTATAAAACAAGTTTTATTGAAACAAAGCTACAGCCATTTGTTTACATTTGGTCTATGGCTGTTTCTAGGCTGCTATAGTAGAATTGTGAAGGAGGACCACATGGGCTGAAATGTCTAAAAATTTTATTATTGACTAGCATTATATAGGAAAGAAAAATTGGATCCTTACATAATACCACACAGAAAAGAAAAGCAAATTCAGTTTGGATGAAAAACCAAAATGTGAAAGAAAAAAAATATTAAAATAAGAGGATATCTTTTGGGGGGCGGGAGGTAGAGGGGACTGGGGATTTAATTCAGGGGCACTTGACCACTGAGCCACATCTCAGCCCTATTTTGTTTTTTATTTAGAAACATGATCTCACTGAGTTGCTTAGAGCCTTGCTTTTGCTGAGGCTGACTTTGAATAATCCTCCTGCCTCAGCCTCCTGAATTGCTGAGATTACAGGCATGGGTGACCATGCCTGGCAAGAGGGTATCTTTTGACTAGAAGCAGAAAAGGATCTGAAACTATAAGACCAAAAATATGTCGATTATACAAAATCAAGCATATCTGCTCAAAGAAGCACAACTTAGACACAATAATATTAGACATAACAGAAGCAATAACAAAACAAATGAGAGAAGATATTTTTAATGTCCAAAATGAATAAGGGATCAGTAACTAAAATAAACAAGAAATTTGAGCAAATCAACAAGAGCCAAAAACAAAAATGGATAAAGGATAAGAATAGGTGATTTACAGTGAAAACAGAAAAACTACACAGGCATATTTGAAGACCACTCAAAATAACTGGTTATAAAAGAGAGCCAAATTTAAATCACAAGATGTCATCTTATGACTGAAAAACCAAAAATTCTTAAAAAATGGGATCATGCCAGGTGTGGTGGTGCTCGCCTGTAATTCTAATGGCTTGGGAGAGTAAGGCAAGAGGATCACGAGTTCAAAGCCAGCTTCAGCAATGGAGAGGCACTAAGCAAATCAGTGAGACCTTGGTCTCTAAATAAAATACAAAATAGGGCTGGGAATGTGGCTCAGTGGTCAAGTGCCCCTGAGTTCAATCGCCCATATCACCCTGCAAAAATAAATAAATAAATAAATAAAATGGGATCAGGTTGTAAACAATGAGACCTTAACTGAAGTTATAAACAAATATTAAATATGCACAGAGGTAAATATGGACAGAGCTAAACACAGTAGTCAGACATGGAAGGTGACATATAACACAATGATGATATAAAAGAAAAATACATCAGAGATGCACTCCTGTAATCTGAGAGGCTCTGGATGCTGAGGCAGGAGGATTTTGAGTTCAGAGCCAGCCTCAGCAACTTAGTGAGGCTCTAAGCAAATCAGTGAGACCCTGTCTGTAAATAAAATACCAAAAAAAAAGGGGGCTGGGGAGTTGGCTCAGAAGTAAAGCATACTTGGGTTCAATTCCGGGTACCAAAACAAACAAACAAACAAACCCATAATAGATAGCAATGCACAGTTTTCAAGAACATGTTCAAACAAACAAACAAACAAAAAATCAAATAAACTAATCAGACTGGTATACAGCAGGGATATTTAAAATTGGACAGAAAGTAAAGCTCAAAAGGAATGAAGATAAAAACAATACATATATCTATCAATGTTCAAATGGATGAGCAAAACATGGTGCATCCATACAACAAAATACATACAGGAATGAAGTACAAGCTATAACTTGAATGAACTATGAAATTACTATGCTAAATGGAAGAAATCAGACATAAAAATTCACATGTTATATGATTCCTGTTCACATATAAGTCCAGAATAGGAAAATTTATAAAGAAAAAAAGTAGATTAGTGGTTGCTTAAGGTCAGGGGGTAGAAATAAATAAGCATGTGTAGGAATGTCATACTGAAAGGGCTCAGGGTTTCTTTTTCATGTGGTGAAATTCTAAAATTGACTGTAATGTTGGTTGCATATATTTTTGAATACAATAACCGCTGAATTATACACTTAAATAGGTGGTACTGTATATGAAATATATATATTTTTTTCTTTTTTGACGATACTGGAGACTCAATCCAGGACTTCTTGCATGGTAGGTAAGCACTGTACTACTGAGCTACATTCCTAGCCCTTTAAAACTTTATTTTGAGTCAAGATTTTACTAAATGTCTCAAATTGGCCTCAAATTTGCAATCATCCTGCCTCAGTCTCCAGAATAGTTGGGATTACTGCCATGCACCACCATGCCTAGCCATGAATCATATTTTACCATAATTGTTTAAACAAAATAAAAGCAAAAGATCAGGGCTGGGGTTGTGGCTTAGTGGTAGAGCGCTTGTTTCCCATGCATGGGCCACTGGGTTCGATCCTCAGTACCACATAAATAAATAAAATTTAAAAACTAAAATAAATATAATGTTTATTTATAAATAAATAAAATAAAAACTACAACTAAAACAAAAAAAAAAAAAAAAAAGTGAATAATCAAGTGAGGCTTGGCACAGTCCAGAATAATGACCCCATGGGCCAAGAAGGCTGATCAATGCAGTCTGCTGCAGCTGAGGTGCAGAAAGAAATATCCCACTCTCACTCCAAGAGCCTGGCTCATGACAAGTGAGGCTCTCATGGGGGTCCTGCCAATTTGCCCAAGGCTATGGGGCTAGGAGGTGTCAGACCAGAGTTTGTTCTAGGACAGACCAACACTCCATCCCCTGATCTCCCTGGTGCCAGCCACTGCCTTCTTGTACTCTGCTCTGCAAAAGAAGAGGCTGAACTGAGGAGGCTCAGGCTCCGAGAACAGGGTGCTGAATCTGCACAGGACTTGGGGCACATCCACAACAGGTTCCCATCACCACTCTGCTCGCCCACCTGTGCTGGAAGAAGCTCTCAAGGGCCCGGCAGACCCCATAACGCTCAGGAGGCGTGAGCAGGTGCTCCAGCTGCTGGCTGAAGGTTCTCCCTTGGACCCGGATGCTGGAAGGCAGGATCTCGGCCACCCACTGCAGGGAGGTGAGCGCTGATGACGGGTTAGGGGAATCCATAGAATCGGAGTCTGCTGGGGCCATAGACAAGTGACAACAACAGTGACCCAAAGTCCCCAAGCCAGGTGTAGTTTTATTTTGGCAGCTGAAGTCAATGGCTCCTGAGCTGGGAGTGCCATGCATTGGGATGTGCACTGCTGCCTTCAGCGGGGGACTGGGATGGAGGGAGAGCCTTGAGCGGCTTCTGGTCGCTGTGCATTGGGGCTCCATAGCGCCACCTTTGGGCAGCCCTGGGAAGGGAAGCTGCAAGTCTGTGAGAAGATCACGGTCCACCCAAGGAAGAGGCATGCAGGTCTCACCGCTAGCGAATGGGACAAGCCCTTCTTCCACCACCAGCGTGGGCATCGCGCCACTGCCCTGTAGCATGGACACCACCTTGTCATGGGAGCAGTTCCTGCCAAGCAGACATGGCCCAGGAGGGCCAGATAGGGGTGAGTCCTGTCCCCCTCCCTGCCCTGTCTGTAGAAGTCACACAGCCAGACCACAGCTGGACTAGCCAAGGCCCTGCCTCTCCTGTTCATCAATCTCCTGTGCAGAAGCCCCAGGCCTCAGCCAGTTTGCTTTGCTACTGCCCTGAGTCTGACCTTCCTGAGCACAAGGAAGGAGCTGTGCCCATGTCATTCTGAGACAGAGCTCCCCCTCCAGATTAAGACACAGATGGTCCTTTCATTTCTGTGTCCCCAGTATGGAGCTGGAGCATTTTCTGGTTGACCAGCTGCAGGGATAGATTCAAGAGTTCCAGGTAGAAGAGGGACAGACACCTAGGGCCAATGGATCAGAGGAGATCAGGACTGGTCTCTGACCTCATGTCCAGTCCATTGAGGAAGAGGATCCGGTCGCCTGATTTGAGGGCTGCATTATCAGCTGGGCTGCCTGAAAGCAAGAAGAGAGGGCATGTTGGTCAGCCTGCAGGGCCCTACCCTGGCCCTGTAGGGGATCCATCCCACTCTTCCAGACAGATGCTATTCTCCTGATTTACAGGAGAGAAATAGAGACTCAGACCCAAACTAGCGCTGCTAAGTGACTCACTTCTAAGAATGCAGACCAACCAATCCAGAGCCCACACCCAACCACCTCCTCTGTGGAGCTCTCTCATTCTGGGCCATTGTCCACCCACCCTTATCACACCAGGGCCAGGCACCCACTTAGTTGGTTTAGTCTGCCTCCCACCTTCCTTCCTGTGAAAACCACAATAAAGGCTCTTGTTCATATTCTCCCCTTGCTCTGTCAGCCTCCGACAAGCCCCAGCACTTCTCCTCATGTCCCCTGTGGCATCCTGTACCTCCTCCTCTTGGGATATGTCTTGGCAAAAGGATATTCCAGTGGCAAGTGTCTCCTGACCCACTGGCCTTGCCACACCTGAATCAATAAAACCTGCCTTTTAAGACACATGGGAGCAGCTAACTTTTGCTGTCTGTCTTGGTAGCCCTGAAGGTCACCTAACATCTGGAAGGCAAGCTGGAAAATCAGCTCCTATGGATACAGATTTGCTCATTCCGCTTCCTTTATTTGTCATCATTGTTAAACTTGACTTGGAACTAAGTAGGGAAAGTGATAAATGCCTAAATAAAATACCATCCCAGACTGTGCGTAATGCTCTCTTGAAGCTGTGGAGATTGTCTAGAGAGGAAAAAGACAATCTGGGAAGACTTCCTGGAGAGATGGGATGGGGAGGGGACTGTTCCCAGGAATAGGAAAGGGGGAGAAGGTGATGCTGGTAATTAAACCAATGTGACCTGTCTGGAAGGGGTGGGAGGGCTAGGGGGCTGTCCCAGGGAACCGAAGATCACACCAGGCCTGGAGCCAGAAGACACCACGTTCTGTTGCTTGATTTGCCTGGGTATCTTTAGGCCTCTGTTCCCCCATCTGTAAAAACTCCCACAAAATAATTCATTCAGCTTCCTATGAAAAGAAAAGCATGAGGTTACCAGCCTAGAGGTTGAGTTAAGGAGACCAGTACACCTGGATTTCAACAAGGCCCTAGGCCAAGTATCTTTACACACCTGGGAAAGGCAGAAAAGTGGGACTTAGGGCGGGGAACAGTTGTAAAAGCCATAAACAGCAGTGTTAATCATTTCTAGAGGAAGCCCTCTAGGGAGCAGCCTTGGGCCTTTCTCCTACACCATTGTGTCAACAACTGAGTGATGCCCAAATCCAAACAGAACTACAGCATGCCAGTTATCAGGATAAGGAAGGTCTCAGAATGATCCAAAAGGTTGGGACAACGATGCAAAAGCACTGAGGCTCTTTCCCATTTCACAAATCTGTATGCTGAAGATGCAGGATATGGAAGTGTAGAAAGGGATTAGCAGGGATACTGGTGGGGATGTGTCAATAGGAGCATCATGCTCAGGTGCTGGGAAGGGAGGGATGCACATTCTGGTCCTTGATTTCCCTGGGTCTCTTTAGGCCTCTGTTTCCCCATCTGTAAGCTGCAAACTTACGTGTAAGAATTCATTCAGCTTCCTATAATGGGAAAAGCATGAGGTTACCAGCCTCATTCAAACAGCAGTAGTTAATCATTTCTAGAGGAAGCCCTCTAGAAAGCAGGTGGCCCAACCCTGTGGAGGGGTTACAAGAGGGAAGAGTTCAATTCAGTGCCAGAAGTTTCTGCCTCACTGACACCTTCCACAATGGATGAGTACCTCCCCACCTCTGCCCACTGACAGGACAGGAAAGGACTCCTTCGCTGCAAAGGCTCTGCCTTCTTCAAGATGCCATAATTTCAGGAGCAAGAAGGGGAGGCTGGTGGGAGACAAAAGGGAGTCTGTCCAGTTTGGTGGCTGAATAGTGGGCAAGGCCCTGAGATGGCAGCGTACTTGCTAACAGGTGCTCATGGGCTCTCTAAGCAGAGAATGTTGTTTGGGACTCAGCCTGGCAAGCACCAGCTCTGCCCTGGCTGCCCCAGTGTCCCAGAGAGTGTCCACAGCCCTCTCTTTGGACATAGGAAAGGTCTGGATCAAGAACTTGAATCACTTGGCTTAGAGTGATGGTGAACTTGGAGACCTCTAGCCTCAAGTATCTTAAATAGCTGGTTGATTTGGATATACTGGCACTCTGGGACATTCAGAGGACACAGGTTATATGACATGAGGTGGGAGGTTTTGCTGAGCAGCAGGGGTAGAATGTCAAGGGAGAAAGGGCTATAACAGGGTCTTTCACGGATCCCGAACCTTAGAGACTCTAAGGACAATCTGCCCACCCCTCACCAGGAAGGACGGACTCAATCCAGACTGGCCCGTGGCCACGCAGCGTGAAGCCAAAACTCTTGTTGCCCTTGTAGACTCGGACAGTCCTAGGAAGAAAGAAAGGCCAAGATGGAAACTGGCAGCCTTCTCTGCTATGGGAGGAGGGACTCGGAGGGTGGAGACAACTCGTGTCTTGTTCCTCTTAACCTTCCCTGTCCCCCCAGATGTCCACCTCCCGTGCTCTCTGCCCACGTCCCCGTCCCAAGGGCGCAACAGAGAGGGGTCCAGTGCCTGGGCCCGCGCGCCA